GGGCTGGGGCTGGGGCTGGCGGGGCGACAGGGGGAAACAGCATTTTCCGCGGCGCCTCCTCACCTGGCAGAGGTAGCGCGGACAAACCCCAGGTTTAGGTTGTACGTGTTTCCTAAGAGACGCCGTGATCCGTTAAGTTGAATGTGAGTTTGGGAGCAAGGAGCTCCCACAGGCAGATCCCTTCTGAGCTGCTGAAAAGCTCTGACAGCTGATTTCTCTGCGAGTTCATTTTCATTGACGGTGGTGGTTTTGTTGCTTTGTTAGCGCTGCTTCTTTTTTCTCCAAGATCCCAATTCAAAGCAAAAGTGTCTTTCTACTGATTTTTGTGTGCGCTGGATCAAACCTGTTTGTGGTGATCAGCATCAAGAGGCCTTACTATAGGTGGAAAGAGCTGCTTTCATGAGAACGTACAGCAACACCATAGCTCACAGGCTACACTTTAATCTGTATTCTTTTTAGTCTGTTTTCTGCCAAGCTCTGGCTAGAATGACTAAAGCTAGTCCTTAGTCTGGCTAGGTTCCTCAGTGGCCCCAGCACAAAGTGTGTTAAAATTGCCTTTACCTCTCCATATTCTTCTTACCCGACTAGGAAAGAGGATATAGTAAATAGAGAAACAGGCCATTGATTTACTGTATTTTGTTTCAACATTCAGCATTCTGATTCACATTGTTTGTGAACAGATTGTGACTTTGTGTAGTGGGTCCCAGTATTCAACTGACTCGTTTGCATGTACTTAGCTTGAAAAACTAATTCTGATTTTTTTTCCATAGATGCTATGATCATTTCACCATTGGTTTTTCTTTTTTTTTTTTTTTTTTTTTTTTTGGTTCTTAGAGAATGCCAGTAGTGCTGAAAGGAATGGAACTGGGCACTTGCACAACCAAATGGACAATAGATTACTTGAGCCAAGCTGAAGGATCTAAAGAAGTAAAGATTCATGTTTCTGCAGTGCCACAGATGGATTTCCTCAGTAAGAACTTTGTGTATAGGTACTTAATTCCAAGGCCTTTTGTATTTTAAGGGTATGTGCTTGTAACTTTGAGACATACAGTGCATCTGTTTGAAGCTGAGGGTGAGAATATGAAGATACTTCGTGAAAACTTTTAAATTACATATCAAAGTGCTGTCCTTGATTTTCCCCTCCTCTTTTCATTCCACAAATATCTCAGCACCCCAAGTTAATACTACAGGGGTGAAAGGAAGGGCCAAAGAGCACCTTATAAGTAATTGCATAAAGAAATGTTTTAAAGATATTTTAACAGAGCACTCTTGTAGGAAATTCAAGCCTGGCATTTGCTGGCATTGATTAAAAAAATAAACAAAAACCCTCTTGATATTAGGTGATATGCTATTTTGTTCTAATTATATGGTGTGTTTTCACTGTTACTGAATAGTGCTACTTTCTGACTCACCATGTCTCTGAACATCTTTAATGCTGGCATGTGGCAGGCATGCTATTCCACTCTAGAAGGATGTTACTAATTAAAACCAATCTCCTTGCAGAGTGAGTGTGTGCCGTTCTCAAAATGTTCGAACTATTGGATATCACACATTTCACCGTCTCTTTAATCTTTATGTGGGTCTCATAGACCCTTATCTCCTCTGAAGTTCCTCTTGTATAGTTGCCAGAATATTTCTTCAGAGTTCATCTAATCTCAAGTCACTGTGTTCTTCAAGGGTGAATGCCTTTATTTTAGCTGTTATTTGTTTTCCCTAAGTGGGAACAATATGTGTTCAGTCTGTTGAACTTTTAAGAAGGTTGAAGCATACGCTGTAAGTGTAAACAAGCTACAAGTGTCTGTGAGAGGAGCCTGTTGTTCAGAAGAAAAAACACTTTATAATTGTGTTATATTCTGCTCACTGCATAATGAATTTTTAAATATTTGAATTTAGGTTATACTTTGCCTTATCTCCATATTTCCTTTTCCCTCTTCTATTTTATTTCTTATTAGAATATCTGTTACTGTGAGTTCACATACAGTTGATCCAGCATGCTAGTTTTAGCAGGTTTAGTTGTAGCCAGCCATATGGAGGTGCTTTGATGATGCTTCATTATAGCAGGTGTTAGGACTTTCACCCACTTCACCTGAAATTCAGGAAGCTTTGACCCTTTCCCCAGCAAGCCCCCCATTCTAATCTGAAGGGAGAATAAGTAGAACTTACAGAAACACTGAGGACTTAACTTGCTGTTCCATGAGTTTAAACTGATGCACGTGAGCAGTACTGCAGTCCTATTGTAAGTCGCACGCTCCTACCCCTGCCTTTGTGTTGGTTCTGGAACTCATTCAGCCACATTGTGATGTGTTTCAAAAATCTGAATGTTTTTCTGCTGTTTGGGCTTTGCAAGCAGGTTCACTATGAGGTCAGATGAGTGCCAGTGTTAGCATAAGGGAGGAGATGGGGTGATTAGGGTAGACTGCAAGGGCAGAGCTGTAGCAGCACCAGCATTCATCAGTCTAAGCTGTCATGGAGCTGCGCTCTCACTTTCTTCAGTAGCAAATGTAAATGGACATAATAGAACGATTCATCTCAAGTCAGTTGGGTTTTGTTTGTTTTTCCATTGACTTCGGTGGTTGTTGTATTTGACTATTAAAAAAAGCCTAAAATGTTTAGAGAAGTGTTCTAAGTACTATCAGATGCAGGTCACGTTCTGGTAGAAGGGATAACACTATCATGAAAAAATGTGGTTGAGGATAACACTGGGTACTTGGTGGTTCCTCTGATGTTGACGTGGAACATATTCATTATACCGTGACAATGTGAGATGGTGAGTTGAATGAACATAACATTGAATTCCTAAGATAATTTTCATAACAGTGAATACGTCCTATTACTATTTGTTCTTGGCTTGCCATTCAGCTATCAACTGATGCCAAAATACGTAACGCTTATGAAAAACTCCCTTTATATAAATAAAGATGTAACACACTTATTGACTTCAGAGGGACAGGCTTTAATGCCTGATGATTCTTTTTGAATCTTCTGAAATTTGTGTAATAAATTCAAGGAAAACTGTAAAAAACCACTTGAAAATACCAAGATTCCTGTATTCTGCTCAGCTGAGGTGGCACATATTTTAAAAAAGACAACAGGTAACTGAAATAAATTTTATAGATCTACAAAAAAAGATTGGTATCTGTGTTCATGCACAAATTCATAGCAGAAAATGCACAGATATAAACATAATGTATATGACTGCAGTAGTTTTCTTGATGCTGAGCTTTTCTGCAAATTTATAAAAATGCACAATAAACAAGCCTAAAAATGACACACTGTAGAGAAATAGTCTATGCAAGTATTGTCAGGTGTTGGCCACAGTTTGAGTCTAATTTGACCATGAAGAAATTTTTTGCATGGTGACTCAAACTATTCAGACCTCGTAAGCTCAAGAGGGGATCTTAGTGAAGTGTATATAAATAGCTGGTGGAGGGAGTAAAAGTGGAGCTGGATTCTTCTCATCATTCATGGTGACAGGACATGAGGCAACGGACACAAGTTGAAATACAGGAAATTCCGTTAAACTGTTTTAAAAAAACAATCCTTTTACAGTGAGGGTGGTCAAACAATGGAACATGTTGCCCAGATCGGTTATGGAGTCTCCATCCTTGGAGATAGGCAAAACCCAAATGAATGCTCTCCTGGGCAATCTTCTGTAGTTGATCCTGCTCTTGGCAAGGCGGTTGGATTGGAGGATCTCCAGAGGTGCCTTGCAGCCTCAGCAATTACATGATTCTGTTTGGATATACATTGGAACAATTTACTAAAGCAGAGATGTTTGTAAGTGTAAGATTTCTGTCTTGGTGGAACTCTTCAGACATCCACTGCAAACACTGATTAGTCACCATGTTAAATTAAAAAAAAAAAAAAGCGCGACATATTGCATCTTTAGTTATACTAGATATGTTAAGGGAGCTTATGAGTTTAAACCTGGCATTTAGACC